TACCCAGGCTTGTCAAGTAGTTCACGTTGTTCCTGTGGAAAAGGGACGCCCTTAGAATTGCCACTGATAGTGTAGTGGTATTATAGCATGTACACCGCTTAAAATAGTGGTAATCCAGAAAAGAAGAGGGGTTAGAGACTCTCCTTTCAAAATATATTACAAAATTTCTACTTGTTTTCGTACGAAGAATTTAAAACTGCGGAGTCGGGTACTGTTTTGAGGATTCAAACAAACATCTGATGTTTCTTGATGACATGTGGATTTTGAAGTTCCACTGGTATATCGCTGTAGGATGAAATAAGTTCCGATTAAATTTCCTGCAGTTACACGTAATTGTAGAGATATGAATCCGATCAGCATAAGTATATCGCTCATGCATATATATGTTGAGTTGAGCCTAAATTTAGTGTGTATATTTAATATAGTGAATACCAAACAATATCTGACGATACTGTATACGCCAATGGCAATGGCCGAATAGCCCAATATAAACATCTCTTAGTGGTAGTACCTTGTTGCAGCAAATTATAGTAATGACACGTCTTTGCATGATAACACCTTTGTACAGCACAAATGCCTCTGAAAATAGTCAAGAGAACTTTCATGAACTGTGGGGATTACTACCTTATTTTAAGGGCAAAATATTGCGAGGGTGGTTATACAACCTGTGCACCTATACAGTAGATAGTAAATTATTCAGTGTATCGACCGTGTAAGAAAATGGGTACATGGTATGTAGAATTTGAGCTACAAACCTACTTACCAACGGTCAATGAAGTCATTTACACTTGCCTTGGCCGTGTTTGTTTCTTGTTCAAGAACCTGGGGTGAATGCACAGCTGGTCACCTGATCCTGGCACACATACGTTCGGTCTCAAACATAAAACAATAGAAAACGTCAATTTCAACAGTTAAATCTTCGTTTCCCGGTTTTGCTTACCTAAACGTGAGAAACACAGGAGTTTCTTGTAAAACATCCGAGGCTCGTATCAATTTTTTTGACGGTCTGTTATCAGGATGTGTTTGACTTGTATGTTTCGATCATAGTTTCATGTCCATAGCTTGTTTCATGTCCAGGATGCACGAAATTATTCCTAACTTTTAATTCTAAACCTCACCCTAACCCTGACCTAATTGCTTATACTAAAAGATTTGAATCAAGGATTATATTCGCGGACACTGGACATGAAATTATTACTTATTTCCACCAAATCTGACAGGTTTTTAGCAGATTCGCCAACAAGCTTATTACTATACAAGGTTTTAAACTTGACAAGCCGTCTTAAATGTATGTGTTTAAAGACTTTGGTATTAATACGTCGAAAAAATACAGTAGACACCATACCTTTCTTTAGCAAACAACAAGAAACAGCACCCTTGTTCTCTGGGTTGCAAACGTTTTCATAAAATCCTTCCATTGCCTAAAACAGACCATAAATCCTTTGATAAACCTCAATCAGCTTGTTCATTGCGAGTTATTTAGTTGAACATAACCTCCTGATCAAAATGATCCGTTTTTCGTCCTCGTAAAAACGTACAGATGAACTGTTTAACTATATATTCATTTGTTAAAAAGTCTAGTCTTAAGATTTCGCTGGATGGCAATAGAACTAACCTCTGTAAATTCGTTTTTTCGTCGTGGCTCAACAAAAATAGTTTTTTGTGTCTCAAGTCGGTTCCATAGACCAAAACTCTTACAAAACAAAGGATAATCATTGTGAATTAACGTAACGGACTAGGATATGAAATATCGTTCCTATATCAGTTTTAACAACACACAAAACCCTAACCGATTTAGAATTTCGATCTAAGGAAGCACCATCAAAAGGTCCAGTAAGATTAATCTGTATAAAAATCACATTAGCTGTATTTATACAAGAGACGAACAATTCATCGGGACGAACCTACACAAATTTTATATTAAAAGGTAATATGAAACCAGACATTTTCCTACGATTTAATTTTTTTAACTTACCTATTGCAATCCCCATTTTTGTCAAGTAGTTCACGTTGTTCCTGTGGAAAAGGGGACGCCCTTAGAATTGCCACTGATAGTGTAGTGGTATTATTGCATGTACACCGCTTCAAAGTAGTAGTAATCCAGAAACGATGAGGGGTTAGAGACTCTCCTTTCAAAATTATACTAAAAAAATTTCTACCTGTTTTTGTACGAAGAGTTTAGAACTTTTGAGGATTCCAACAAACATCTGATGTTTCTTAATGACATGTAGATTTTGAAGTTCCACTGGTAAGCCCTTATAGGTTTCCTAAATCAATCACCGTTATTAAAAATGACTATACAAAAGATCATCTTGTAGCTTAATGTTATGGTGGACGTAATTGATCACCTTTGTCGCCACCAGCTGCTTTGCTGGTTGACCAAACATCCAGTTGCTTCCTCTTCCAACCGTCATTCGCTTGCTGTTGAACATGAACCTAAAAAACACAAGAAACTTAATTTGGCTACAGCAATACATGAATTGTCTCATTTTTCATTAACTACCTGCCATGCAGAGTTTACTTTTAATACACACAGGTTGAGATGATTGCACCGTAAATGTGCCAGCTTGTTGCACATCTTTCTTTTCGCTCGACCCTAATGCATCGCTGTTCTGAAAAACTACCTGGGATGCAATAATGTGGAAAGATTGGACTAGATTTTATCCGTGAAAATGATTGTTTACGAAAATGATTGTTTACAACAATTACGACACAAAGGAAACCAGGTTAACGACTGCTTGAAGACATGTAGATAAGTGGAGCTACAAGAAAGCTATTACAGCAATAAACGTCAAAAAATATCAACATACGAGCCCTTTCCCCAAATTTCTACCACTAAGTCTTCTATCATGTCAAAGACTACTGTATACGTACTTTCAAGGCGTCCGCGAACTGTCTTTGTATTGCACCACCAATTTGATCTACATTGAAGAAGATTTGCTTAAATAATGTATGCATTTCATTTCCCAGTTTTAACAATAGGTTGCTGCAATACTGGCATATTGAATCATGCAGAGCTTGCTCCAACTCGATAATCGCCTAAAATCTTTGCACATCCAAATTTAACAAATGAAATGTTGAAACAAGCTCGGAAACCACTTCATAAACTCACTTGCAACGGAAAATGAAATCACTTTCTCGAGTGATTTCGTACTTTGACCAGAAGTTCGAAAATGTAACTGGGTGACAAAAAGACAAAAGACTGCAAAAGTTAAGGCATTTCTAACGAGGCTGCAGTCATATAATGCTTGTTTCAACAATGTTTTCAAATAAATTGTATACTGCACCTGCCGGGATGTGTAATTATTTGGAGGATGAAGATGTTACAGTATGCAATTCTTCCTCTAGCTTCAAGACCAAGCCTGGAAAATAAACAAAATTGACCCAATTATAATACGAAATCAGGCTAGCAAATCACGTCAAAAGAGGAGGCTGGGTATTATAAATGAACTAGCCGTAATCTGATTGGCTTGATAACCGATGCAAATCACTAGCTGTTCAATGAACTGCGTACAGCTGAGAAGAGGTATACAAAAATATTCCTAGCCACCATTTTAGTATTCCTCAATTTCCATTCGTGGCTTCACCTACTACACGTTCCAGGTATATTTTTATTGATTATATTTACAAGAGGCCCATTTTGATGTGCGGTTTCAATCCTGATATCATGACTGGCAACCGAAAGCTATACATATACCTTTTATGTATGCGATTTCCTGTTTATCCAAATCTCCATCATCTGGTAAACAGAAATACGAGATTTTTAACACAGCTGATTGTACAAAAAGGCGATCAACTATGGTTAGCGGCAGAATTGCTCAATCAGAATCCTCTCTTTAGGGGGTACATTGATATTTCGCAAAAGATTTCTTAATTTACGAAACTTTAAGAACCATACCAGAGAGAAATTCTAACAGTGGTATGACAACTTGAGGCGTTGGCGAAAGTTTAGTAAACTTTTCCAGATATGTTGGGAGCAGTCTAAGGAACGAAAATTTAGAAATTATTGCTCAAAAAACCTTGTATTTGTGAAGGAGTATCTCGCATAACAAGAGACGTTACATTTAGGCTGGAGTTTGTTGAAATACATTTCTGTAAATTCACTGAGTGCATTATCAAGGCACGATTTCAAATATCTCCAAAGCAATAAACTTATAAAACGCTGCAATTACTTAAATCAACTTCATTCTTTACAAAGTGCTAATGGACATAAAAAAGTCTCAAATTCCAGACTATCTTAAGTAGCCTTACCTTGCCATAACTGGCAAGGCATTTCTAACATACATATGGTGAGACAGGATACGCATAACGTCGCGGAATGAGCAACCAAACTAATCTGCAAAGTACGCATCAGACAAAACTAGACGAAATATACAACAACGTTTAAGCGAGAACAGACAACGGCTGAAAATAAAGTCAAGCAGGTTCTTACTTGTTCATCTTGACCAATGAAAATGTGGTACGTACACAGCTCTGTTAATACCTTCACATGTTACAATAAAATATCCAATTAAATTATTAGTATGGTATGATACACTTATGGTATAAATTCGTTATGGTATGGTATGGTGTGATATAATTATGGTATGATATGGTTATCGTATGGTATGATTTGGTCATGGTATGGTATGGTGTGATATAATTTTGGAATTATATGGTTATCGTATGGTATGATTTGGTTATGGTTAGTTATGGTATGATATGATTATACGATATGATTATATGATATGTTGTGGTATGGTTATGGTATAGTATGGTTTTGGTATAGTTATGGTAAGATATTATGATAGATGCAAAAAACTGAAGGATAAGAACCGTACTGGAAAAATTCTAGCGTACAAATGAGGTCGGCGCATATCATGAGGAACACGAAATAATCCAGGAAGAAAATCATAATTTCAAACCTGAATGCAAAGTAAAATTTTTAGTTCATGATTTTGGTGTGAAAAGTGCACAACTTTACTTCCCTTACCATTTTAGATAACACTGTACATATTAAACGTAAGTAGTGCTTTCAAGAATGTATCAAGTTTTTATCTTGCAGTGCCTCTGGAAAGTTTCTCAGAACAACATACAACACCTCCCATTCCAATTTCTAGAAAATCAAGAAAGTTGTACTTCAATCGAAACTTAATACCAGATGATATTATGATGGAAAAGTTTACCTGTTGTAAGCACACAAGAATAACATTCATTGCCTCGTTTTAAAGCAGTGAGACAATCCCGGTTGTCTTATCTTCTGCAGAACTAAAACAAAAATGAGGATGTATTGAATTTGAATTTTTTGAATTTAATCACATTATTACCAAAAAGTAGAGGTAACAGGTGGCTGAACAGAGCATGGCCCCAATTGACATTAGCTACCGGTAAAGCAACCAGAGAGGTGCTGAAATCACCTAACGCTCGCCGGCACTGTTTGTCTAGAATAAGGCTAAACTCTGTATGAAAGGTATCTGTATGAAGCACAAATTACCGATCTTTTTATTACAAATTACAAGGCTAAAATCCGCGTTGGAAGGTAATATTAAGCACAAACTTCAGATATTAGTTGTGACCTCAGAATTACTGGCCAAAACTGGCCTCGGAATTACATTAGTTTTATTTGTGACCAATATTTCTTCCGTTTCTCGCAATCCGCGCACGTGATATCAACAGGTATGTTAACGGACCAGGCAAAAGTCCCTGCTTTAAGCCGGGCGCACACACAACGATTTTACGGTAGTTGGTCTATTCAGGTTTAGACATATAGGAAGCCCTTGCCCAGACATTTTTTCCTTCTCGCGGCGCTCGCGCCTCGCGCGTGCACGCGAGTCTACTTGGTC